TCTGCGAAAAACTGCAGAAAAACACAAGACAAAAAAGAGTGTGGCGGTGTGGTGAACCCCTTCAACGGGAAAGCCGGTGGTGGTAAACACACCCACATCCCCCATGGGTGCGATGCCGCCTGGGTCACCGATGCACGGAGTGGTACATCCGTGTCCTTTGGTATAGAGAGAGACGAGGGAAACAAACAAGCATGAGAATGGAATTATCGGCGACCCGAGTAAGAATGATCGAGCTCATTCTACTTTATCGTGCGATTAATTTGATGATTTATTGCATATCGCGACAGGACACACACGACAGGAGTTGATGACAACTCATAAAACATATTTTACATTAAACATATTAAAATTAATAATTTATATTTCCACCTGATTTGTCCGTAGTCTTTTTTTTTTTTTTTTACACCAAAGGGCACTTCTTTAGCTAATGGCGAATTGTTGCTGTCCCAGAAACAAAAGCGACATGCAGCGTTTCTCTCTCTCTCTCATCAGAAAAAGAGGTTCGTCCAAGCTCTGCCAGAAAATACAACGCTACGTGGACACAGACCTCCACTGAGTCAAAGACTAATACCACACTGTACCTGTGTGCATGCTGAAAAACAAAAACAGGAGTTGATCCAGACAGACATACCTTCTTAGCAGCCACTCCTCCTCTGACCTTCTTAGCTTCAGGTTTACCGTCAACTTCATTACTAGCTGGCTGAGACCTGGAGGCTGCAGGGGAGATGTGTGTAAATATAATGTATTAACCAATTACTGAGCAGAATATCAAAACACTCGATATCACACACTGCATTTGTGTTTTTTACCCCCATTTTGCATTGTAAATGGGCCATATTATATCTTATGTCTTTATTTGACAGTAGAACTCAAGTGAGGGGGACAACGTGCAGCACAGAAACAAAGGCTGAAGTAGAGTTGCAGACAAAGCTACAAAGTTTAGCAAATCATTATTTTGCCAAACTGGAACTGGGCTTTAAATGTCATCAGCTGGTCATAATTAGTCTTTAGTTTACGTTATGTGTAAAACTACCACAAAGTAGCCAGTTCTACATTTAGACTCATTACAACCACAGTCTCAGATTCTCAAAACCATTCATTCTGTTGTCATACAAACCTGAAGCAGCTCTGCTTGGCTCTGCAGAGCCTTTTCCCCCTCCAGCTTTGGCAGGAGCAGCAGGTTTAGCCGGCATCACTGCCCTAGCCTTTTCCAACATGGCTAGCACCTGATCCTTAGAGGCAGGCTGCAAGGAGACGAGGACAGACTTGAATTTACTGCAAACAAGACAGCTACGCATCGCTGCCTGTGGTCGGGTGTTGAAAATGTCTATTTGTTAGTGACAGCACAATATTCAGTACTTTGAGTTTCCCAGCAGCCTTGGTCATCTTGTCATAGCCCAGGTGCATCATGAAGGTGGGCAGAGCGTCCTGAGCTTTCTTCCGAACGTCTCCATTTCTGTCCTCCAGACAGGTGTAGAGCAGTGGGACACACAGCATCAGGTCCCCGGGTACTGTCCTCAGTGTTGGCAGCTTCTCTGCTAACCAGCCTAGCACCTGGGTGAAGAACAGAGCTTCATGTGTCTCTGATCAGCATCATTGTGTACTATGATTTCAATATGTAAGTATGTGAAATTTCATTTTGTCTGCAGAGAAAAGACTTCCTCCAACAATACAGTCAAGGGAATGCGTATCTGTGTGTACCTCCTGTCGTAGGAAGGGATTCTCTCTCCTCAGCTCCTCTGACAGGTCCTCTCCTTCCAGCCACTCCTTCATCCCAGTCTGCTCCACCCAGGACTGCAGAGTGGTCATGGCAGCCGTCCTTACATTCACCTGCAGAGGAACAGAGAGACATGTCCAACATCAACACAGTCCGGGACATCCTTCTCATTCTTATTTGTTTCACCCTTTATGCCGCCTGTATATTCTCAAAGTGCATGTTACAGTAGTTTTTACACTTTTTAAAATGGACATTTGTATTAATATGCTCTACCTAGGGCTGTACATTCACACATTTTGAAGTGTGTTATGTGCTAGGTATAATTACTGGTTTTGCCAATGGAATTTGGCATAGCACCCATGGCTTTGGTCTGAGATGGTGGTGCTCTCATGGCAAGTGAATTTGATATATCCAACCTTTAACTAATGACTGAGGCAAAGTGTTCAAAGTGAAAAAGACCTGAGGCATTTGCATTGAGATGGACAAAAATGAGCTTTCACTGCACAACAAATACCACAGTGCCAGGTGTGTTTCTGATGTGAGTGAATGTGCCCAGTACCTTGCTGTCTCCCAGAACAGTGATAATGGGGATTCCCAGTGCTTTAATGTGTTGCTTTAGCCCAGATCCCATGGCTGTAGCCAGCTGCTGCAGGATGGTCAGGGTCTGTTGGACCTGAAGACAACATACATGATGGTCAAACCTACATTTTAATATCCTTTCATTGTAAAGTTCTTAGTTCTTAAATGGTCTAGACTAAAACTGTAAACATCTGGATCACTGATTTCAGAGCACTTTTTTTTTTTTTTAATATCACATCAATATAACATCATGTCTCTGAAGGTAGGATTAAGCAAAGGATAAGCAAAAACTTAGTGAAATATGAGCCATACGGACAGGCCTGCTCTTTAACTAACCAGGATCTTGTTGGAGTCACCCAGTCGTCCTTTCAGGGCCAGGGGCAGCTCTCCGATGTTGGGTGTGATGAACTTTGCGTCTGAGATGATTGCTGCAGCCTCGTCCAGACCCTCCTTTCTGATCTTCCAGTTCTTATCCTCGATTTTAGACACCAGATCGGACGTGATCTTGTCGCTAAAGAGAGACACAGCATCAAGAATTATCCAAGTTTCCTTCAACTTTAGTAAAACAACAAAGAGAAAATGGGACACGTACACTGAGTGGTATTTAGATATGGCATTTAAAAAGTTTGGCACCGCTTAATTAAGTATTGTGGTATCTTGAGCATCACATTACACATATTCTGTGCAAGCGTACCAGTAGTTCAGCTGTGTATCAATTCTCAAAAACAGGGCTGTAGGAAGTCCAGTTTGGTTTGTTTTTATTTGTGCAGGTTGACAGAGTGTCGCAGTCACTGTTCAGTTACCTGATATCTGTCCTGGGCAGCAGATCCATGACGTCCTGTCCTCCCCCTCCTCCTCCTCCTCCTCCTCCATCTTCTTCCTGCTCCTCACCATCATCAGCCTCCTCTTCTGCCGCTGACTTCCTGGTGAATCGGATTGGAGCTGGTGGAGACTGGCCCTGCATCTGTGAGGGAGATACACACATGCATAGATATCTTGTTTGCATTTTCACGTGACATTCCCTCTAGTTTTCTTTGAATATATAAAGGAAAAAACAACAACACTTTTGTTCCTGACCCACCCAAAAGTCCCTACCTTCTCAAACTCAGCATCTATCTGAGAGAGGAGAGCGGGCTTCTCATCCTCAAAGAACATGCGCAGGGGGGCTCCCATGTAGAGGTACATGACTCCCAGCAGGGTGATGGCAGCCGTCCGAACAGCAGGGTTAGTCGCTCCAAGAGCAGTCTTCACGTTGTTAATGAAACCCTTCACATTGATACTGCAGAGGGGGGGGGGGGGGCAAAG